CCACTCGGTCTTGGACGGGTTGAGTCTGAGTCTGTTCCTCCCCATCCAGACCCTCACGGCCTCCAGGCATCGGGCCATCACGTCAAGGGCATCGTTGGGGTGGCCCGGGGTGGATATGTACAGCTGAGTGTCGTCAGCGTACTGATGGAAATCCACCCCGAAGCCACGGATGATCTCCCCCAGCGGCTTCACATAAATACTCCCTTTTGTTCTTTTACACTCGTAGGAGGAGTGATAAATCAGTGTCTTGCTAGTCTATCCCTTATACTTGGTAACTGTGATACATTGTTCACACCCTTGATTCTGCAAGCCGGTTTTGGATCACTGAGCCATCCTGAGGGTCAAACATATTAAGGCAAAGTGTTGGACCCATGGTCTGAACCATCCTTCCTTCTTCCAAAGAATGTACGAGGGAAACAGCAGTAACAGAATAAAAATGTAGCAACATATAATCCAGATACCACAAATCCAACTTCCAGGGTAGTCCAGTCCATTGAAGCTTTGTCCTAGTCCAGTGATGGTGAACCTTTTAGAGACCGAGTGCCCAAACTGCAATCCAAAACCCACTTATGTATGGCCGGGTGCTGGGTGGGCATGACCCATTGGGTGGGTGTGGCCCATTGGGTGGGTGTGGCTCATTGGGTGGGCGTGGCTTCAGTGGTAATGGCAGACTGGGTAGGACTAAAAAGTTCAATCAATCAATTCCAACTTTGCGAGATCTTTTTTTTCCCCACGAGAAGTTGAAATTGATTGATTGATTGATTGAACCTTTTTTTTTTGCACATGGCGGCGGAGGCCTAAAGCGAAAAGGTTTTATAAAACCCAGTTGAAGGCCTAGGACTGGGGCGACGGCGCGTGTGCCCACAGAGAGGGCTCTGTGTGCCGCCTGTGGCACCCGTGCCATAGATTCGCCACCACAGTCCTAGTCAGATGGAAACAGTTCAACAGGCGAGGCAATCGAAGTTTCACTTTCAGGCCGTCCTGCTGGGCTTGCCACTGGATTGATGGAACTTTCTTGATTCTAGATCTGTGGACCCACACCTTGATTCCTTCCACTTTCACCACAGTTGGGGTGCTCAGGAGGACTTGACGGGGCTGGGACCACTACTTATAGGTGACAATTCTTTCACCCGAACCCACTCTCCAGGAACAACGATCGGTGAGAGACAGGTGGTAGGGGAGCCTGGGCCTGTACTGAGATAGAAGACAAAACCTGTGCCAGCTTATGCAAATACTGAGTCTAACATTCTTCTCTTCTTCATCGACATTCTTAAACCTTTGTGCAACCAACGGTCTCCCATACATCATTTCAAAAGGGGACAGAGCAAGTTTTCAGAGGGCAAAGCACAAATGCGAGTTCAACCTGAGTTTTAAGAGTTAGCTGAGGCCTGTATGCATTGAAATGGCCTCACCACTAGATCAGGGCTTTTCAACCTTTTCACCCATTGTATCACTTTTAGATATGGCTATATCCGAGTACCACCAGTCGCCTAGCAAGGTGTCAAAAACTTGATGACCAAAAAAAAAAAAAGGAAAAAAGTGATGAAGTACTAGTAGTCCTCGACTTACAACAGTTCGCTTAGTGACTGTTCGAAGTTGCAATGGCACTGAAAAAAGTGCCGAGCAAGACACCTGCCTGCCCACCCAGCGGCGCTCTTCCTCCTGTCCGAGGTTTTCATTGTTGTGAGCATTTCTGTTGAGGATTGGCAGCGGGGGTGGAGTGGGGGGTGTTTGGTTTTTATTCCCCCCGTCTGCTGGGTGGTTGCAGCAGGTTTTGGTCACTTCACATGACCCTGGGACACTGTAACCATCATAAATATGAATCAGTTACCAAGCATTTAAATGTAAATCACAAGAGCCTGGAGATGCTGCAACATTCCAGCTGATCGGCGCTTCTTCTGGGCTCAGCAGAAGCACCAGGATCAGTGCTGTTTTCCAGCTGATTGGTGCTTCTTCTGGGCTCAGCAGAAGTGCCAGGATCAGCGCCGAGCTCCAGCTGGAGCCTAGTGCTGATCCTGGCACTTCCACTGAGCCCTGACAGCTCCGAAGAAGCGCTGATCCTGGCGCTTCCGCTGAGCCCTGACAGCCCTGCAGCTCCAGCCATCTCTCGCTCAGGCTTGTGCGGTGCTGCCACCGGTTCAGCTCATTCCCCTCCCCAGCTACCATGTTTCTAGGATGGTCGTGTACCACCTGCCAGGTGCCAATGTACCACAGGTGGTACCCGTACCACTGGTTGAAAAGCCTTGCACTAGATGTCACAACTTGTTTAGCCACTGTGTACCACCCACAATATCCATAAGCTTCCAAAAACAAAACACAATGCCTTCCTCCTTATCATCTGTTAAACATTAAGTTCCTTCTTGCAGCTGCCAGCGCATTTCCCTCAGCTTCCCATGTGCCTGCTGCTACAAGCACATCTTCTATCAACTTTACACGAGCCAACTCTTTCCCTTTAGTATAAACATACGTTCCCCTTCTACCCTGTCAACAACCTCAGAGCCTGCCTTAAAGTTCACAGGTTTGAGCTGACCAAGGGAGGGGAAGCCTTCTAGCTTCCACTAACATTTTCTCTTCTTCCCCATCTAATTTGCTAGATCCATCTACGAACAAATTGGTTTTCCTCCTTTGTCCGTTGTATAACATTAGGCTCTCTTTAGTCAAAACAGCATAGTTATCTATAACCCCCAAAATTTCTTCAACTCCTTCTTTGTTTTAGGCAAGGATTGAGATACAATTTCTTCAATTCTCTTAGGTATTATTGCCTATTTCTTTCATTAATCAACAAATCAGTGTGTCCTGCACACAAACATAAAGGATTGAGATACAATTCCTTCAGTTCTCTTAGGTATTATTGTCTATTTCTTTCATTAATCAACAAATCAGTGTGTCCTGCACACAAACATAAAGGATTGAGTTACAATTCCTTCAGTTCTCTTAGGTATTATTGTCTATTTCTTTCATTAATAAATCAGTGTGTCCTGCACATAAACATAAAAAATAAAACAAAACAAAAAGCAACTTCACAAAGAAACAAACAAACTTAATGAAGTGTTCTGAATGAATGCACTAAAAATATATGTGGGCATGCAAGTAAGCCACTAGGCCAGTGATGGCGAACCTTTTAGAGACCGAATGCCCAAACTGCAACCCAAAACCCACTTATGCATCGTCGGTGCCGGATGGGTGTGGCCCATTGGGTGGGCGTGGCTGCGGTGATAACAGCAGACTGTCAACGCTGCTAATATTGAATATTCTTGCTTTGACAAAATATACAGAACTACCTGGTATTTTTAGAGTTAATTCAGATGATGGTGGGAGGGAGGAGAAAGATAGGACAGTGGGGAAGAGAACGGAAGAGAACCTTTGCCCTTCCACCTGATAGGAGAAGTGATATATGACAGCAAATTTAGGGAGGGAACCTAATTGCTCAGGGGAAGAGAATTTCAGATCTTAGCATCCCTTCGGTGCCGGACATGTTGTAACATAAATAAAAGACTTTTTAGGAAAATAATGCCTGGAAGTTCTTTGAAGTGTTTCATTAGTCGGAACCTGACATCATGCTAAGATCTCAAAATCTTTTAAACTAATTACGAGGTCCTGGTCCTCAGTCACTATTCCTAATCTGAAGGAGATATATGACAAAGACCCGGGGAAGATCTCATTATGAAAAGAGAAAGATGGCTTGAGGCCAGCCCTTCAGCAGCAGCAGCTTCCCCAGGGAATGGAGCAGCAGCCAGCCAGCCGAGGGAGAAAGAATTCTGGCAGATCTCCCAGCTAAGAGCAAAGACTTCAAAAGCAGAATGCAGAGATAACGAAGTTTTGGGTGAGTGGCTGGAAAGATTTCAAAACCCAGATGTGAATATCAGAAATCAATACCTGGAAAAAGGAGCCTATACCCCTCCCATGGCCCAGCAGAAAGCCTGTCAGAACCTGTCTTCCCCTGCCAGGGACCCCAGCCCTGAAGAGAGAGGGAAGTCCAGTCTGAGGCATCTGCAGCAATGGGTAGATGGGTTCCCCAGCAGATGGATGGTCAGCGATTTCTGAGCTTGCCACAACTAATAGAGGCCTTGCAACAGCTTGGGGTGGTGCAGAAACCAGGAGATCAGCAGCTGGTGGGAGACCAACCACAGCTGAGCCCAGAAGAAGCACCGATCAGCTGGAATGTTGCAGCATCTCCAGGGTCTTGTGATTTACATTCAGATGCTTGGCAACTGATTCATATTTATGACGGTCACAGTGTCCCAGGGTCATGTGAAGTGACCAAAACCTGCTTCAACCACCCAGCAGATGGGTGGAATAAAAACCAAACACCCCCACCCCACCTCTGCTGCCAATCCTCAACAAAAATGCTCCCAACAATGAAAACCTCGGACAGGAGGAAGAGCGCCGCCGGGTGGTCAGGCAGGTGTCTTGCTCAGCTGTGGCTTGGGGGGCACTTTTTCCAGTGCCATTGTAACTTCGAACAGTCATTAAGCGAACTGTTGTAAGTTGAGGACTACCTGTACTTTATCACTTTCCTTTTTTTTTTTTTTTTGGTCATCAAGTTTTTGACACCTTTCTAGGCGACTGGTGGTACTTGGATATTGCCATATCCTAAAAGTGGTACAATGGGTGAAAAGGTTGAAAATCCCTGCTCTAGAAGATGCTCTTTGGTCTCTCGATGGCTCCCTTTTTCTACCTTTTGCTTTTTTTCTCTCTTCCATCATTTTCCCCTTCATTTCCTCCTTCCACCTCTGCCCTGCCCAGGTCTTCTTTTTTCTTCTTTCCAGACCTGAAAATGGGGCCTGCTGTGGCCTACAGCATCAAGGTCCCCAAGCAGAAGTCCCCTAACTCTGCCCCTCTGGGTCCCTTCCAGGCACCTCCTCGCACTTCCTGAAGTATTTCTTCACCTCCATCTCAGACCCCAGTCAGGCGGAGCCCCATTTTGTCTCTCTGGGGTACGTGGATGATCAACTCTTCAATTACTACGACAGCAACAGCCGGAAGTTCCAGCCTCGAGTCCCCTGGATAGAGAAGGTGGGGAAGGAGGACCCCCAGTACTGGGAGAGAAGCACCCAGACGTGTCGTGGCGAAGAGGAGTCATTCAGAGATCGCCTGGAGATTCTGAGAACTCTCTACAATCATAGCGGTGAGTGATGGGTCAGGCGGCTCCTCCTGCCTCCCCAGGAACCAGACGGAGAAAGGGGGTCCTTTCAAAAGAAAAGGTTACTTCCACACCTTTTTAAAAAGTTTTTTAAAATATGTTTATTCCTTTTTTAAAATCAGCATAAACTTGTCTCTGTAGCCAATGTTTTCTGCTGACTGCAATTAATCAAAACATATTTAAAGTTATCCATCTATCTGTCTGGATATTGATAGGATATGGATATGGATATAAAGTGAGGTAGAAAGAGACTGAAATCTCTCACCCTCCATGAAAGATGGAGGGCCCTGGCCTTGGTGGACCCCCTGCTGTGGAGGAGGAAGGGAATCACAGGTCTCTCCCCTCCCGGAAAAGAAGCAGATGGGTTCTAAAAAGATCCTGGTGAAAGCAGGTCCTCATCCTTCTGTCTGTTTCCATTCTAGAGAAATGAGGAATCAAGTGCAGATCCACCTGGGGAGACCAGAACCCTTTCCTTCACCCCCTTTTAGGAGGGATGAGTGGGGCCCAAACGCCAGGAGCATCTTCTCATCCTCCAGTTCGAAGGAGAGGCCAGGAGGCCAAATGGGGCAGGGGCTCTTGGAGGGGGGGCATAGGGTCACTTCCAGGATCCTCCCAATCTTGTGGGGGGAGGACAGAAAAGAAAGAAACCCCCATTTGGGGACCTTCCTGAGTAGCTCAGAGCTGTCATGGAATCCCTGAGGATCTCCCCAGATCCCTCCAGGCCCCCTGCTGGCCTCTCAGGGGAGCAAAGCTGGATCCAGAGGGCTCCCCCTGGTGGAGAAAAGAAGGAGGCCAGCCAGAGTGGAGGGGAACCTCCTTTCCAGGCTAAACAGCCACAAAGGTCCCACTCTTTCAAGGAAGGCTGCTTCAGCCCTCCCACCCTCTTAGTCGCCTCCTCTGGACCTTCCCCCAGCTCCCTCCTGTCCTTTTTGAGGTCTGGTGACCAGAACTGCACCCAATATTCCAGATGTGGTGGCACCCTTGATTTACGCAAAGGCTTTGTGACATTAGCCTCTGTGTTTTCAACACCATTTTAATGATCCACGACATCCTGTTGGCCTTTTTAATTTTTTACATATAATTTTACTAAAACTTTTTAACAAGAAGATAAAAACTAATAGAAAGTAATATAAAATAAAGGGGACATATTCTGTTCTCTAGACAGAACAGACTGCTTCCAGGTTCAGTCCAGTACAGATAGTTAACTCAGAGGAACAAACAGAAAATATTGCTTTATTCTGGGAATCCTAAACAAAGTCTTACAGTATTGTAGAGATACGTCCAAAATACGTTTAGCGATATTGGATTGTTCCACAGGTAAATTGATGATGGACTTTCCCCTCTACTTCTGCCTAAGCGTCACATGTTGGCATAATCATGAGATCTCCAGCCGTGTGACTGGAAGCCATGAGCTCGATGAACAAAGGCATTCCCATGTGGCTTGTGTCCAGGAAGTCTCCAATGCCCTTTAGAAACTCCTCCCACTGACCTATTAACAAACCCAGCCTTTAACCCAGTGGTTCTCAACCTTTTTAATGCCGCGACCCCAACCAGTCGTAAGTCGAGGACTAAACCGGTTGTAAGTCGAGGACTAAACTGGTCGTAAGTCGAGGACTACCCAACCGGTCGTAAGTCGAGGACTTTCCCTGCCCAGGAGCGCCACGTATGCATGGTTCCGCCCCCTGCGCTGGCCGAGGCGTAGCTGGCAAGCGGCAGAGACAGAGCAGGCCGACCACCAGCTGGCCCAGCCCAAGGGAGGTAAGGCACCCGCCGGAAAAGGGGAAAAAAATGGCGGACAAAAAAAATGGCGGACAAAAAAAATGGTGGACAGCCTTGCTTGGCGACCCCCATGAAATGGTCGATCGACCCCAAATGGGGTCCCGACCCACAGGTTGAGAACCACTGCTTTAACCCAATAACTGCCAGGTATTCTAACATACTGATACATGCTCTCTAGTTAGAGTTGCATAGATCTATACGATCCAGAACAGGACAAAAGAAAGAAATAAAAGAAAAAAGAAAAAACGACAAGGAAAGAAAACAAGTTGAAGAAAATAAATAAAGAAAAAGACATAAAGCCTTCTGGTATTCTTCACAGCAGTTATAAATATAAATACATTTTAACTTCTCTAAAGCAGCCATTCTCAACCTTTTGACCCAGGAGGAACACTTGAAATATTTTTCAGGCCTCGGGGAACCCCTGCACATCCAGGCTCAGAGCTGCATTAACAGCGTTCTTACACTGATGATAATAAAAAGTGAAACTTGCCTTTTCAATGTGATCCCTGCACAAAATATTCAGTTCTATGCCAGACATGAGATGAGAACCACACAGATTTCATCTTATTTCAGTTGTAGATGAATCCTAAACAATGACTTACAGTTTTTGTAGAGATACGTCCAAAATAATATTTCTGCAATATTTGGTTATTCCACAAGTAAATTGTTAATGGATTTTCCCTCCTCTTCTGCATAAGCATCACATGTTGGCATAGGACCTCCAAGCCATGTGGCTAGGAGACATGAGGCTGGATGAACAAAGGCATTCCAAACTGGCTTGTGTCCAGGAAGTCTCCCTTTAGAAACTCCTCCCACTGACCCATTAACATGGGATGACTGACTAGCTAAACTGCATTTCCCATAATCCATCTCTGAAGGAAACAGCACTTAACTCAATAAATGCCAGATATTCTAACATACTGATACATGCTCTCTAGTTAGGGTTATATAGAGCTATACGATCCAGAACAATAACCCTTTGGGGTGCCGATCAGACTGGGCCACTTGCTGCTCTTGCTGAGGAAAATATTCCTTTGTGGCCCTTCAAGGCTTCATTCCCACATTGCACGAAGCCATGGTTTGTTTCTGGATAGCCCAAACAGGGAGCCAGCCCTTGAGACTTGGTGCTATTTGTGAATGCAGACCATGATTTTACGATCACAGGGATCCCTGCAAGTGCCTTTTCAGATGGATCCTCTTTGAGGCCATGAGATTCTTGGTCCCTCCTTGCAGCCAGATTCAGGCCCCTGTTCCTGCTCTGAGGTCTCCCCAAGAAAGCAGCAGAAAGAAAGATGGAGGAGGCTCCATTCCTCCGTTTCCTCTGTGCCTCCATCTTTCCTTGGTCCTCCTTGGGATCCTCCACTGCCTTTTCTGATCCTGTGAGATTGAAAGGGAGATTTGCCAGGTTCAGGGGCTCCATCCTAGGGGAGATGCAAGCCAATCTGTAGGGAGTGGGGAGGTGGGAGAATTGGAGGGAAGCGCTGTGGAGGAAATTGGGGTGTCGTTGCCTCCCTTCAGTAGGGAGGGAGGCCTCTGTGTCTCTGAGGATTCCCCAAACCATCCTCCTGTCCATCTTTCAGGCCTGCACAGATCCTCTTTGAGGCCAGTCCCTCTTTAGACCTGCAGATTCAGGCAACTGTTCCCTCTCTGGGATCCCTTCCTTCCCCCCTAAGGGTCTCCCCAACAGAGGAACTTTTTTTCTCACTCCCTCAGGATCCTCCGCTGGCTTCCCCAGTTTCAATTTTCTTGGGGAGGTTCAGGGGCTCCATCCTGGGGGTGAAATGGAGGGACCCAGGTCGAGGGAAAGGAAAAGGGCGGTTAGTGATGGGGGGGGATTTCTTTTTCTTGGAGGAAATGGAGGTGTCAATGCCTACCTCCACTGTCAAAGTCTCTGCAGGGAGGGGGCGGTCTCTATCTCAAGGACTCCCCAAACCATCATCTTGTCCCTATTTCAGGCCTTAACACATTGCAGAAGATGATTGTCTGTGAGCTCCGGGGAGACGGGAGCAAAGGAGGGTTTCTGCAGTATGGCTACGAAGGGAGGACCTTCATCACCTTCGACAAGGAGACCCTCACCTGGGTGGCTCCTGAACCCCAGGCCCGGATCATCCAGAGGAAATGGGATGCTATTCCAGGATATAATCAGGGACAGAAGGCCTACCTGGAGGAGGAATGCATTGAGTGGATAAAGAAGTACCTGTCTTATAGGAAGGGGGCGCTGCTGAGGACAGGTGAGCATCTGGACACAGGCTGGACAGGCTCCTTTATGGTCTGATTTTTTTGGTCCCTTTGGGTCCCTTGTCTAGAGCCTGGTTGTTCAGCAGGGACTCCTCCTCTTCCCTTCCAGCACTTCCCCAGAATATGGGAAGCCCTGTTTAGCTCCCATTGTGAGGCAGCCATTAAATAAACCTACCACTAGGGGGCACCTACCCTTAATAGGACATTATCAGTGCCTCCACTTGGGCAAAAATGGCCAAGGTTGAGGAAGTGAAAAAACGGCACACATTCTGTGGTTGTTTCTCTTAAACTCAAACAGGTTTCTTATTTTTGTTTTTAGTGATTTCTCCAGAAAACATTCCCTTCCCCTCTTTCAGGGACTCTCCCTCACTCCAGAGGGCTTCCTGCTCACAATGTCATATTTCCCCCCTTTTTCTTTCCTGTTATTATTTTTCTCTCAGGACTATCCCTGCCCCACTGTCCCTGCCCCTTCCTCTCTGGGCTCCTTGATCCCTCCAGGATCAGCTGGGTGAGATCAGGCATCATGGGTGGATCCCCCTCCCCACAATTCCCCACAGCCCCTCCCTTCCCTGTGGGGACTGTCTCCGTCTTCCATAGGCATTACCTCTCTGTCTGCCCCCCTTTGAGAGGCAGAATCTCATTTCCAAATTAACCAGGGTGAGATTCCAAAAGCCCTGAGCCCCTTGCTTTGATTCTCATTCTCCCCCACCCCCCAGGGAAAGTGTTGCCATATGCTAAATAAAACAAATAATCCTGAAATTGTGATTGTGCCCCTTGGAAAGAAGCCTAGAACAGCCTCAGATTTGGGGAAGGGGAAGTGAACCCCAAAAGTAGGGAGAAACATCTCTGTTGCTCTTTTTTGAAAGGTACCCCTAAATAGCAGCTCCACTTTCCCTCCCCTGAAGGAAATAATCCAAGATCACCCAGAGTTCAAAGCAGCCAGAGAGGAATTTCCTTGGACCCTCAATTTGTTGCTGGAGGCTTTTCAGGCTGAGTCCCTGGGAAGGACTCAGAATCAGGAGTCCTTGTGGTTGAGCATTTTCCAGATCTGGAGCATTTTCTAAAACTCTTGGAGACGCTGCAGGTGTGGAGTGGGAAGTAGTGGGAGACTTTCCTGCCCCTCCAAGTTTCTCACCCACCTTCCAGGCTCTGGAGGGGCTCAGAATTAATTCCAGGGGTGCGGTTTCTGCAGAGCCCCCAGAGGTGACCGTGAGCAGCAAGACGGAGGTGGAGGATGGGATGGAGATGCACGTCTGCCGCCTGCATGGCTTCTACCCCAGGGAGATCGATGCCTCCTGGACGAGAGACGGGGAGGTCTGGCTGCAGGACACCCTCCGTGGCTCTGTGGCCCCCAACGCGGATGGGACCTTCCACGCCTGGCTCAGCATCCAGATTGATCCCAAAGAGAGAGGCCGCTATCAGTGCCACGTGGAGCACAACGGCCTGCAGGAGCCTCTGGACGTGGCCCTGAAGGGTGAGAGACTGCAGGGAGGGAAAGGCTGGGCTCTTTGGCAGGCTGGAGGGTTTTGGGAGGGAAATCTCACCCCAGATGTGAGCATACCTGAGCTTTAAGCCATTAGTTTTTCCAGTGTTTGAGGTTGGTGAAGCTGCAGGAACCAGACCATAGAACTGGCTTCAGGGGATGTAAAGGAAACTCCAGAATCCCATCACAAGAGTTGGCAGATCCTGATGAAATCCTCTTAGATCCTCTCTTAGCCTCTGTCCCCTGTTTCTTGCCTCCAGCTGTGGAGCAGCAGTTATACTGAGCACCCAAAAAAGATTTTATTTTCTTTAGAATTCCTGAAGTACAAAAGTCAGGAGGAGAGTCTAAGTCCCTTTTTAAGGCCAAATTTAATTAAAATTGATGAACTGCAGCTGGAAATGCACAGAATATCTGGACTAATGCATCAGGAGTCAGAAAAGGGACTATCAATATGAGTTTTTACCATCAGAGACTTTTTCTGCTGTAAAGCAGGGCTTTTCAACTGGTGATACGTGTACCACTTGTGGTACTTTGCCACATGGCAGGTGGTAGGTGATTTCTGGCTAAGTGTAGCAGGGGAGGGGAATGAGCCGAAGCGAGCGAAGCCTGAGGGAGAGGCAGCTGCAGCTGCAGGACTATCTGGGCTTGGCAGAAGCCCCAGGAGCTGGCAGGGCTCCAGCTGATTGGCTTCAGCTGATTGGCCTTCCAGAAGCAGCTGGGAGCTGGCGGTGAACTGAAGAAAAAAGGGGGGGAGAGAGGAGAGGAGAGGTTTGGGTGGGGAAAGGGGAAAAAGAACATCAGGAAAGGTTTAATCCCTTTAAACAACTGTAATTAGTTTTACCCCCTTTAATTGAGTCTGTCTGTGGCTTTTAGAAAGTTTTTTTTTTTTTTGAAGGTAAACTGGCTTAATTTAAAGCGAAAGCTTTTCTCAATTGCCGGAGCCTTTCAGTCTAGAATTGCAACATTCAATGAAATTCAATGGTGAAAAAAGTAAGGTTCTACATTTAGGCAAGAAAATCTAAATGCACAGGTATAGTATAGGGGGTACCTTCCTCAATAGTAGCAACTGTGAGAGGGATCTCGGAGTCCTAGTGGACAATCAATTTAAATATGAGCCAGCACTGTCCTGCAGCTGCCTAAAAGGCCAACACAGTGCTAGGCTGCATTAACAGAGGGATCGAATCAAGATCACATGAAGTATTATTACCACTTTACAATGCCTTGGTAAGGCCACACTTGGAATACTGCATTCAGTTTTGGTCACCACGATGTAAAAAAGATGTTGAGACTCTAGAAAGAGTACAGAGAAGAGCAACAAAGATGATCAGGGGACTGGAGGCTAAAACATATAAGGAACGGTTGCTGGAATTGGGTATGTCTAGTTTAATGAAGAGAAGGACAAGGGGGGACATGATAGCAGTGTTCCAATATCTCAGGGGCTGCCACAAAGAAGAGGGAGTCAAGCTATTTTCCAAAGTGCCTGAAGGCAGGACAAGAAGCAATGGATGGAAACTAACCAAAGAGAGAAGCAACCTAGAACTAAGGAGAATCTTCCTGACAGTTAGAACAATTAACCAGCGGAACAACCTGCCTCCAGAAGCGGTGAATGCTCCAACACTGGAAGTTTTTAAGAGGAGACTGGACAGCCATTTGTCCGAAATGGTATAGGGTTACCTGCCTGAGCAGGGGGTTGGACTTGATAACCTCCAAGGTCCCTTCCAACTTTATTACTATTATTATTATTATTATTATTATTATTATTATTATTATTATTATTATTATTATTATTATTATTATTATTATTATTATTATTATTATTTTAAAGTTCCCCTCCTCAGAACTGACTCCCAAAGCAATACCACTGTATAATGCTTTGGTAAGACCCTACTTTGAATATTGCATCCAGTCTTGGTCGCTACAATATAAAAAAGATGTTGAGACTCTGGAAAGAGTGCAGAGAAGAGCAACAAATAAGATCAGGGGACTGGAGACTAAACATATGAAGAACAATTGTAGAAACTGGGTATATCTGGTCTAATGAAAAGAAGGACTAGGGGTGACATGATAGCACTCTCCCCAATATCTCAGGGGTTGCCTCAACGAAGAGGGGGTCAAGCTATTCTCCAAAGCACCTGAAGGCAGGACAAGATGCAACAGATGGAAACTAATGAAGGAGAGAAGCAAACTAGAACTAAGGAGAAATTTCCTGACAATGAGAACAATAAACCAAATGGAACAATTTGCCTTCAGAAGTTGTGGGTGCTCCATCACTGGAGGCATCTAAGAAGAGACTGGACAGCCACTTGTCTGGAATGCTTGAGCAGGGGGTTGAGCTAGAAGACCTCTAAGGTCCCTTCAAAATCTGTTATTCTGTTTCTGCCATTTGTGGGACTATCCAGAAGTTGGATGTCACCATATTCCATTTTTCATGCTGAAGTTCTCGAAGTATAAAATATAATTTTTTGCTATTTCTGGACTGGCCAAGGAAATGAAAGTGTATATTTTAAAAAAGGCTGGGTGATATGAACTTTTTTACTTTAAATAATAAAACTCAAACACTCAAACTGAAGAAAAAACATAATGTACAAAGGTGCCCAAATTATGACAAACTGGGGCAGCCTCTAAAGAGAACAAAAACTGTTGTTCAACAAATGTTATTGTATTGTTCACCACTATTGTGTTGGTGAAGTTTTTGTTTTGTAAGCTGCTGAGAGTCACAAGGTGGCAAAGGGCTGCATTTGTGCGAGTTGGAACAAATACCTGTAATATCATTTTCTTGAGCACAGGTTCTCCTCAGGGCTGTGTCTTAAGTCCGCTGCTGTTCACCCTGTTGACCCATGACTGTTGTGCTAGGTTTGCCACCAACCATATTGTAAAGTTTGCAGATGATACAACAGTAGTGGGCCTTATTCAGGATGACAAGGTGGAAGCTTAACGCAAGGAGGTTGAAGGATTGGTGAACTCGTGTAAGGAAAACAGCCTAGTTTTAAATACTGGAAAAACCAAAGAGATCATTGTTGATTTCAGAAAAGGCAGGCACAGCCACACCTCTCTGTGCATAAATGATTCACCTGTGGAGATGGTTACCAGCATCAAATTCCTGGGTGTGCAGCTCACAAGTAGGCTGACTTGGTCGCTCAACAGTGAGAAACTGGTGAAGCGGGCACAGCAGTGCCTGCATTTTCTGCGTCGCATGAAAAAAGCACATCTTCCTTCCCCTGTCCTGACCACTTTCTACAGGGGGACGATCGAGAGCATCCTGTCATACAACATCACAGTCTGGTTTGGAGGCATCCCTGCTTCAGACAGGAAGGCGGTGCAGAGAGTGGTGAGAATGGCTCAAAAGATCATTGGCAATTCCCTCCCTCCCATCCAGGACATAGCACAGAAGCGCTGTTTGAACAGGGTCCGTAAGAATATCTGGGACACTACACATCCTCTTCACAACCTGTTTTCCTTGTTACCTTCTGGGAGGAGGCTTCGTGGTATCCGAAGCAGAACATCCAGATTCAGCCAGAGTTTCATTCCATACAGCATTAACCTTGCGAACTCTCAAGCTTCCTCCTTCCGTTATATATTCAAGATGGACAATATTTAATATTTATTTGCTACGTACATGTAGAAGATGTGGGTCTGTACATACGTTGTTCATAGTATGTTTAGGTGTGTGTCATGTATGTGTTTCATTTTGAGAGCGGGCAACTAAATTTCATTTTTGATGTGTGCCATTGTGCCCACAGTATAAAAATAACAATAAAGGTTATCTTATCTTTTGAGTGGAAAAGCCAAAGATGAACTCAGCTGCCTTCATGTTGGGCTGGGGAGAGAAGGAGGCAGCATCAGGAGGACACATCCTCTAACGGTGGTTAGCAAGGAGCCTTCGTGCTACCCTTAGAGGGACATGAAGAGGAACCCATAGAGGTTTTTAATTTGGGGAATTTCCAGCTTTCGCTATTTTAGGTTTCTCCCCCAACTGGGATGATTGGGGTTCTCCTTCAATTATCTGCTTTTTCTCCCAATTCAGAACCAAAATCCAATGTGGGGATCATCATCGGCTGCGTTGTGGTTGGTCTTGCCCTGCTGGGCGTGATTGTTGGGATCTGGTTTTTCAGTAAGTATCTTTTTCTGGGTGATGGAAGGAAGATGGGGAGGTTCCTCCCAAGTCTCTCTCTTTGGGGAGCTTCTTCAGGGCTTCCTCCTGTCCTGTTTTCCCAGCCCTCTTGGGGAGCATCTGAGATCTCGGCCTCTTGCTGGGACTCCAGTCTTGACTTGGCTGAGTCTGAGGTTGGGATAGTCCCGTCTTCTTCTGAGCTGGGAAGAAGCATCCCAGTTCCGTCCCTTTCAAAGGTTTTGGTCCAAGAGCAGCAGAGAAGGATTTCCATGAAAATCTTCCTCCCCTCCCAGCTGCTGCTGCTGCTTCCCCCCTTTCCCTCCCTCCATCTCGGAGGCAGCAGGTCTCCCTTGGGGCAAATCAGGAGATGCATTTGGTTTTTGAAAATCTTTCTGTCTTTATTAATGAGGCAAAGTGACTGCGAAATATCTCCTGAAGGTATTTCTTCCAGAGAGGGAGAGATTGGATGATCTCTGGTGGATTCTTTTAAGCTTTCACTGATTTTTGTCTTTGCAGAGAGACATCATGACTACAAAAAAGCACCAAGTGAGTGACTTGTCCTCTTTACATATAACCTCCAACTTAGAGCAGATACCAGAAGCACCATCAGTTGAGGAGTGAGTGTGCGCGTGCGCGCATTCTCTTCCATCTAAGAACCAGTCTGGGGAAGATGGGCCCCCTTTTCATCCCAGCCAGGCTGTTCTTGGAAGTGGGGTCCTCAAGGAGAAACATCTGGGACAAGGAACCCTCAAGAAAGTGAGAAGACCCAGCTGGTGGAAGGTCCCTCTGACCGAGGACATGCTCTGTTTCCCAAGCGAGCGGAAAGGAAAGTCTTGGCCAAATGAGAGTCAGAAGCTCCATAAAATTAGGGATCAAAAGGGGGCATTTTGAGAGAAAGGGAGCTTTGGCGGGTGCCAGCTGGATCTCCTCTTGGTCTCCCATCACAAGGCTCTTTGGAGCCGTGTGTATCTTTTTAGGTCAGCTCTGCCCTCGGGCTCAAGAATGGCTAAACTATCGCTCTGTGTTGATACACATATAAATTTTAGGAATTCTTTCCTGTGCCTTTTAGCCCAAGCAATCTGGTTCAAACTCTCTCCACGTATTTGTGTGTCTTTGATTGTGTATTTGTGTGTCTTTGATTGTGTGTGTGCGAGAGAGGGAGAGAGCTGGAGTCAGAAAGAGCTGAGTTTCTCCATTTATAAGCCAACAGGGTGACTTCCTCACTCTCTTTTTCTTTCTCTCTTTTCCAGCAACTGACAGAAGATCCAGCAGTTCCAGCCAGGGTGAGTCGGAGGGAGCTGCTGCTGTTGCTTCAGCCATTTGGTCCCTTTGCCAGACTTTGGGTGGGTGGGTGGGTGGGTGGGGGGAGTAAAAGAGGGAGAGGCCCCCAGTTTTTAAAAGCCCCCTCCCCCCATTAATTCATCCTCCCTGTGTTCCCTCTGTGTCTGGTTCTGCTGAAATAATTAAAATAGAGTCAGTTTGGTTTAGTGGGGAGGGCACCAAGTGAGACTTTCTGGGAGACGGTGAGTTCTAGTCCCACCTGTAAAGTTTTTCAGATTATAAATAAATCCCAATAAGACTCTGAACAGGAGGCCTCTGAACACAGCTTTATTTTCTCTGATCAAAGAATATATGCTGGGCACTCCACTCTCCTTTAGACAGCAGAGAAGATGGAGAGCGGAGAGCACTTAATCAGTCAAGTTTCTGCTTTTTATAAACCAACAAACATCACAAGGTTTCTGGGCATCTAAAAAGTTCCTTTGAATCTCCTTATCTATCCTGGCCTTACATTTCTGCATCTCTAAGCTTGAACACACAAAAGCATAATAGCTGCTAATTATCCCATTAACTTTGTTACTTTGCAGGCCGGTAAAGAGCTGTTATATTTTAAAGTCACAGCAGAGAAACGAAAAGGGAAAGATTTACCATCAGAGGAGAGAGGATAGTGGTTGCAATTTCTTAGCTAGGCTTTCCCTTGAAACAACACCGTTTAAAGTAACAGAAACATTTTCTTTGGTCAACACAATTTAGAATGCAATGGAGCACATACAGAAAGCAAAAAAATAAAATAAATGGACAATAGCTGCTATACATGAGAGATTGATTATGCGTAAATGACTATATTTTGAAAGATTATACTTGGCTTGATCTCTACACACCTTAGGCGTGAAAGCCGGCTGGGGGGGTCACAAAATCCACTTTCCTTGCATTGCTTTGTTCCTGAGGCAGAGAAGGGAAACTCTCCCTGTTGGATTCAGGCAGGGGAGGCAGCCCAGAGTCTGCCTGGTGGAGCCTGGCCCCCTTTGGAGGAGAGAGAGCCCTCCATTCCTTGGTGGGAAATAGGGGAATCACCGGTGATACCATCATCCCCAGTGGTTAGAGACTCTTTTGCTGGCATAGCTGAGACCTGGCTGACTCTGGAAGTGGGGTGGGTTTCCCCTCTTATAGATTAGGGTTTAGGGTTTGGCCCCAACCGAGACCCCAGGGCAGGGCAGGGGGGGCAGTGGTCCTCTGAGAATCCCTCTGGGCCCTCGGGGGCCTTGATCCCCACGTTTCTGGTTGTGACTCCCTGTTTCTGAATCTGGGCTCACGGGATCAGTTGGGCTTGTGGCTGCTGTACCAGCCTCCCTGCTGCGTGGGCACCCCCACCCCCTCTCCCTCAGCCGCTGGGGGCCATCTTAGTGTTGGCAGGGAGTTCCCCAGGCTTCTGGTCCTGGGAGACGTCAATCTGCCCTCCCTGGGTTTGGCCTCAGAAGGGGCTCAGGAGTTCATGGCTGCCATGGGCCTCTCCCAGACCGTCCTGGGCCTGGCTCAGGATAGCGGTCACACACCGGATATGATCTTCTTTTCAGAGCAACGGCAACGTGATCTGATGAGGGAATTTGGTTTTTATTCATTGTTTTAAATGTTCTACATAGCTTTTTATTGAATTTTACTGGAAGCTGCCTAGAGTCACCTTGGAGAGAGATGGGTGACACAGAAGTTTAATAATAAATGAATAAAAGGCCTGGTCTCCTCTGAGAGTTTCGTGAAGCTGCAGAGGTTGAATGGCGAAGAGAGAGATTTGTCCTCCTGACAGGGCAAGGAATAGTAGATTCACTCTGTGTCTTTCTCTCCCATGCAGGGAGCGACCAGACCGCTTAGCAGCCCCCTGGCAGGTGAGTGGACTGGTGGGGGCTGCATGAGGGGAGAGGGAGGGAGGAAGGGAGATGAAGGCCTTCAGGTCCAAGGACTCCAATGGATGGTGGAGATACTTTGGGAAATCCCTCTTCTCTCTCCTATTCATCTCAAACACTGGAAGGGAAGGAATTTGGGGGAAGAGGCATTGGGGCTCTGGGGAGGGGTCTGCCTGCCCCCCAACTCTTATCCTCTGGCGCCTCTCAGGCTCCGACTGTCTTGGTATAACTAACCCTTGGATGCTTCTTCTCCTCTTCTTTGCAGCACGATGGACACTCCCAGCCTAAGGAGGGAGGAAAGAATTGAGGATCAACCTTCTTCTGAATTAGACAGGAGGATTCCTTCAGGGCCTTCCAGCATTCTGGAACCAGGATATATTTGGGGTCTTTCATCATTGCTTTTATCACAGAATCAGTAACCTTTCTTTATTATGATTGAGGAATGGAGGGGAAAGAATATACCGTATTTTTCCGTGTATAAGACTCTATTTTTTTCCTTGAAACACCCTCTTCAAAAATCAGGTGCGTCTTATACACGGAAAAATAATGGTAACCTCCGCAGCCCAGGGCCTGCCTGTGTGGGTTGCCACTAATGGGAGATGGGAGGGGGCAAGATCTTCTGCCGGCCAAACCTGCGGATTGATCGGCGTGGAGAGCGTCTTATACACGGGTGCGTCTTATAGACGGAAAAAGACAGTATGTTACTAATTGTGGAATCAAAAGATTTTAAATTGGGTTTTGTGGATAATAGTTTTTAATAAGTAGTTTGTATAACCTTTCATGGGCTTTTCCTGATTGATCTTAATGGATTGAGATTAGAGGTCAGAGATGAGGTTTCAGATGGGTTTACAGGGAATGGGGTGAGGAATAGGATGAAGAGTTTCTTGGTTTTACTTTAAGAGAGATTTATAAGTTGTTAATTTTCATTATACTTGTTGGGGATAAAGATGGGGGTTTCTTTTTCTTTTTTTCCTTGTGTTAGTTTTATAAATTTAAATGTTGTCTTTGATGAAACTATTAGTAAAAGAAGAAGCGTGCATTCTGAGATTTTTGCCACTAAAATCGTTGATGCATTTCAATTGATTATTGCACAGTTAATTGAGCATATATTTGATCATTCAAAGTTTGACAGATAATCAGTATAACGAGTGAAACATTCAGACACTGATTTTTTTTTATAGATTGTCATTTATGGATTTTCATGCTTTAGAAAAATGGAGCATGGGATCCATTTCACAGCCGGGCTGCTGGCTCCTTTAATAACTGCACTTAGATTGTCAGTTTGTCAAAGTTGTTTGCTGAAAATAAATGGTTTTGTTTTGTTCTTATCTGAGTTGCTGCCTGTTTGGAGAGTGGAAATAGCAAGGAATTTATGCTCCTGGTTCATCAGAGACCCCAATTTTCTTTTGAGTGGTAGGAAGGGGAGGAACCAAGGCAAAACCAGGAAGGAGCAAGAACTGGGGGGAGGGGTTCCATTGTGCTCCTTGGGGAGGAGGCAGCCATTTTGCTCCTGGGTCCAGATCTTTCTCTAGCATCTCCAGCTGATCTTCCGCAAAATGGCCGCTTGATCTTGGCTTGGTGGGGGCAGCAATAGAGGCGGCTTTTCCCTCAGATCCACCTTTGCCTCAGGCTGAGGGCCAAGTGGCTGGTCTCTGGGCCTCATCCAGGGGCCCTTTGGGAGACAGGAGCTCAGGGACCGTCCGGAGCCCTCCTGGTCCCCTTGCAGGAGGGCAGCTTCTCCTGCCTCTGAGAGGTCCTCTCTGGGCTCTTCAGGGGCCCAGTAGGATGCCCTGGCCCAAGAGTGGGGAGAGCCTCAATTGATGGGAAAGACGCCCCCCATATTATAGTGGATGCTTTCTGGGCGAGGAGGAGTGGAAAGGATGGGTCTGTCATCCCCTTCGCTCTGGACTAGCCCTCTTTGAAAGCTTAAAAAGTAAATTTCAAAGCATTTTGCAAGAATTCAGTAGATATTTCAGCCTGCTCTACTGATTCAAAACTTTTAGAAATTTATTTTTTAATTAGAATATATGACTGCCCAGCTCACATAAGCAGCTCTGGTCAGCCAACACAATAAAAATATCAATACAAGAGCAAAAGACAATAAATATAATGCACAAAAGAAAAATGTCCACCAAGGATACACCAGTCAGCCCCAAATTCATTCAATTTAGCTTACAGGTAGCCCTTGACTTACAACAGTTCATTTAATGACCGTAGTTACAACAGGATTGAAAAAAGTGATTTATGACCATTTTTCACACTTGTGACTGTTGCAGCATTCCTGCAGTCATGTGATCAAAATTTGGACGCTTGGTTTTCGGCACAATATTGATTTGGACAATTGGCAAAATCTATGGGAAAAAAACCTAAAAATTACTTTAGCAACCTCCTATAAGGAAAACCTCTATAAAATGTTTTATAGGTGGCATCTCCCTCCCACAAGATTAGCACGAATGAATAAGGGATATCCCCGATATGCTGGAAGTGTGGAGAGACCGTTGGGAATTACCACCATATGTGGTGGAAATGCACACAGGCACAAAAATTTTGGAATTTATTAAAGAAATGGCTGGAAGAAATCCTGCTAATAGATATAGAGGCCAAACCGGATTTTTTCCTATTGGGAATTATAGAAAGAAAATACAAGAAAGATACAAATTATTTATTACTGCATATAGTAATGGCGGCACGAATAGCTTTTGCTCAAAAATGGAAAGAGAAAGATATTCCAACCGAAGAGGAAATATTACTGAAAATCCTCAATTGTGCAGAATTGGATAGACTCACATTGTAACTCAAGGATAAAAGTGAAACTAAGTACTATAAAATCTGGGAACAATTTTATGATTGGATAGATAACAAGAGGGCAGCCAAGACAAATGTATAGTGTTAGAACAAAATATAGATTATAGACAAATGTATATTTAAAAGATAAATAAATATATAGAAATAAGGGAAAAAGCATTAATATTATATTATAAATAGCGAGTAAAGTTTAAGAACTATATGTCTATATGAGTACTAATGTTACTGTAAAGTGACGGAAGATGTATGGAACCAGTGACATCATATCTATGTCCAATGTCTTTTTAATTCTGTATTATTAATAAAATTTCAATAATTAAATAAAAAATTGGACGCTTGGCAACCGCTTCATATTTATAATGGTTGCGGTATCTCGAAGTCACGTGATCACCTTCTGTGTCCTTTTGACAAGCAAAGTCAATGCAGAAGCCAGATTCACTTAACAATCGTGTTACTAACTTAACAATTTCAGCGATTCACTTAACAACAGTGGCAAGAAAAATAATGGGGCAAAACTCACTTAACAAATGTGTCACTTAACAACAGAAATGTTGGACTTAATTCTGGACGTAAGTCGAGGACGACCTGTAGTGCTTAAGGCAGCAGGCTAGAAACCAGGAGGCAGTCAGTTCAAGTCCCGCCTCCGGCACAAGAATCCGCTGTGTGATTTTGGGGCCAGTCATCCTATCTCCACAGGGTTGTTGTGGGGAAAATGGAGGACAAGGAAAGAGCATCAGGTATGTCCGCAACCTTGAGTTCTTTATGGAAATGATAAAAGTGGGACATGAACAGAGAAACTCTGGGGCTTAACTCTCTCCCGATCTCAAGGACGTCTGAAAGAAAACAAGGACTTTACTAAGGCCACACTTGGAATACAGTTTTGGTCACCACGATGTAAAAAAGATGTTGAGACTCTAGAAAGAGTACAGAGAAGAGCAACAAAGATGATAAGGGGACTGGAGGCCAAAGCATATAAGGAACGGCTGCTGGAATTGGGAATGTTTAGTTTAATGAAGAGAAGGACGAGGGGGGACATGATAGCAGTGTTCCAGTATCTCAGGGGCTGCCACAAAGAAGAGGGAGTCAAGCTATTTTCCAAGGCGCCTGAAGGCAGGACAAGAAGCAACGGATGAAAACTAATCAAGGAGAGAAGCGACCTAGAACTAAGGAGACACTTCCTGACAGAACAATTAACCAGTGGAACAACCTGCCTCCAGAAGTGGTGAATGCTCCAACACTGGAAGTTTTTAAGAAGAGACTGGACAGCCATTTGTCTGAAATGGTATAGGGTTTCCTGCCTGAGCAGGGGGTTGGACTAGATGACCTCCAAGGTGCCTTCCAACTTTATTATTATTATTATTATTATTATTATTATTATTATTATTATTATTATTATTATTATTATTATTATTATTATTATTATTATTATTATTATTATTATTGCTATCGGGGTCCAGCCTGACTCTAACTCCAAAAGAAATAATATCCCAGTGGGTGGATGGTGGAGCCTCAGTCCCGTCCTTCCTTGATCACCTGAAGGACTGCGCTTCAAGAACCGGAAAAGGATAAGCCAAAAATTTAACCATTTTCTTGCCTATCTTAACTTGTGTTTCTAATCTGATCCCCCTCCACTGCCAGGGGCTCTGCGGGGTCTCCCCTCCCCCTCGCCTGCACCCCTCCCCCCAGACCCAGAGAACCCTCCCGCTTTTCCCAGCCCCCCATTTCTGCCCCTCCCCCCAAGAGGCGGAATGCCTGGAAGGGGATTTCCTGATGGGACTTTCGCTTTCCTTTTCCCGCCTGTCCAGCCGGTTGCGCCTGGACGTCTGCCTAGCAACAATGACGACACGGGAATACTTTTTTTCTACTGGTTGTGCTTGGCCAATCACAAGCTTTTGGTCTGGGTTGTTGCGTTGTTGATCACCCGGAGCGCCTCTTTTTTTGCCTGCGACTTCAGGAGAGCCGAGCCAGGATGGCTCTGCGCTCTCTGTCGCTCCTGGTGTTGGTGGGGGTCGCCCTGCGGGAGAGCTGCCTCGGTGAGTCCCTTTATCTCCTGGTGGGGATCCATCCAAGAAACCTCCCCTCCCCCCAAATATTATTCCCAGGAAGAGAATCCCGATTCGGTCCTCTTTCGAGTCCGCTCCCCCTCTGGCCCCTCTCAGAAGGGACCCCAAAGCGTGGATGGGACTTTGCTGTCCCCCCCCCAGGAGAGCCCCTCTGGGAATAGGAGAAGGGAGGCCCCTCCAGAGGTCAGTCAAGTCTACCTGGGCGCCCCCGAGCGCAGTTCTTTCCCTCTTTCAAAGGGGAGGTTGTGGGAAAGCGGCGTTTGCAGGGACCAAGTCAGTTCCCAAACTTCCTGGCTGCCTTCGCACAACCCCTCCGCCTGGCTCCTCTTCCCTGCCTTTGGCGGGGCTCGGAGGCTCTTTGGGGCTTCTGGTGCTGGGAGGAGCCGGCTCGTTTCTCGACTCGCTTCCGTGTATTGGCAGACAAGGAGGCTGGAGCACTGGAGCCCTCGGGTTAAGGCTGTCCTGGGAATGCAGCAGGAGACGAGTCTGGAGAGAAGCCCTCCTTGAATTGTCTTCCCAAAGATCCCCCCTGATTGATTGATTGTCACTTTCCCCTGGATCCCCACCCCCCACCCCGTCCTAAACCCCAATATCCCCAGAGCTTTTTTCTAGGACAGGCAGGAATTTTTCCACCCAAAATCCTCCTCCTTCCATTTCAGGAGCCCCCAGCACGGGAGAGTTTGCAGAATCAGAAATATTTAAAGTTTACTCTTATTCCTAAGTCATCAGATCGGAGGTTTTGGGGTGTCCCTAGTTGTTCCTCAGGGAAACTCTCAATGCAGCAGCTTTTCCAAAGGCATTTCCAAAACTGTCAGGATCTGAAGGATTAGAGAGTCTGGGCTGGAGGCAGGAGGAGAGAAGCCCCTCTGGATGGAGAGCCTGAAATGAAGGGCTTGCTTAGACACAGACAGGCCCAAACTGACCAGCCCTTCCTGACCTGAGGAGGATTTGTGATTGTGAGGACGCCCAACCTGCGTTACATTCACACGTTTCTCCTCTCAGGCAGACTTCAGACTCCCTCACTGCTCAGCCCACGAGGGCTCACTTAACAAATGTCTCACTTAGCAACAAAAAATGTGGGCTAGATTATGGTTGTAAGTCGAGGACTGCCTGTATTTATTTCTCGGGGGGGGGGGGTGGCTTTGGAGGTCCTGCCCTTTTCCATGCAGACCCAGGTTCTGCCCAAATAAGTCCCGTGAAGGATCCTGAAAATGATCTTTCAACTCTTTGGTGCCCCGGAAGAATTTCTGACCTGAAGAGCTTTCAGAATGGAGACTCAGAAGAGGCCTTGGGGATTTTCTTTTTAAATTTTTTTTTTATTTATTCTTTTTTCACTATGCAACAAAAATAAAAATAAAAATGAAAAAATACATTTTTCCCCTTTAACAGAACTGTGTTATACATCTCATATATATTATTTACAATTTATTTACATCAGTAATCATGTCTTTTTTCTTTCTCTGTTCTAGCCAATTATAACATTTGTTCCATATTTCATAAAATTCTGTTGCCTCCTTGTCTTTTAAGTTTAATCATTTCCGCGCATTCTAGAATTTTGTGTATGATCATATCGTTTGTAGTTATGTTTTCACCCTTCCAACATTGGGCATATACTATGCAGGCTGCTGTTAAAATATGTATAATAATTTATTTGAGTTGTTTTTCCATTTTTATATTTATTATACCCAAAATATATATTTATTATACCCTTCCGCCGTGCCCTCAAGACATGGCTTTTCCATCAAGCGGGATTGGCCTAGGGGGGGATTTTATAGGGATTTTAAAGGGATTTTATAATTTTTCTAATACAGGTTAATTAATATATATTTTAATTTGGCTTTTAAATATTTATTGTATAGCTCTGTTTTTATTTACCTGTAAGCCGCCCTGAGTCCCTCGGGAGAAG